CAGCAGGGAGCTTGGTGACACTATGATGTACAATACAAGAACATCATTGAACATCAGCAACGCTCTTAGAACAGTTGTGCATAGTGGCAAAACATTCTAATATATTAACCTGGTTGTTGTCGATATATTGGGTGATGCCAGAATTGTGAAACCCCAAGCGACTGCAACCATGATTGAATTTTCTTTGTAAACCATTCATGGAATCTAACTTATGCTCGTGGTTTGAAGCTTCCCAGAAAACCATCACTGTTGATCCAAGACACCAGTAGCCGTCGTAGTTCCTCTTCCAATGCAGCTGGGTCAGGATCAGGCATCTCCGACATTGCCCGACCGGTCTCTTTGTCTACAATGCCTAGCCCTCGGATCAAGGTTTCTGAGGACCAAGTCTTGCTAGCAAAGCTCATACTAGGAATTTTCAAAAGCCACTGCAGCCAAGATCTTACGGTTGTTGAAGTGACAAATTCACTGGACATAGGGTTTGACAAACTGTGATTTTCTGAATCAGTTGAGGCTACTTAAAGTGTGTTTTCATTTGACCCCTACATGTTGGAACGCCTATTCTCGCCCGATCACGCCGTTTCTCGCCTGATCACGCCGTTTCTCGCCCGAGTTCAAAATGCCCAAAAATGCAAAAAAATGCAAAACCAGTTTCTTTCAATTGTCATTTTGGCGAATTTCAAGTCCCCCCAAACGGTCATAAAGCACTGTTTTGAAAGACCTTTTGGCCTTGGTAGCGGCCCCATCAGCAAATGGTAAATTATGAATATTGGAGTGAAAACAGTGGGCACACAAGCTGCTGTGAGCTTTCCCGACTGCTCCAACTGGACCCCTAAAAGAGTAATGGCCGGTAGGCCTCTGGAATTTGGAGCCGCTTGCTGCCCCTGACATACTCATAGAATGTCCACAGCTCAGCGTCGTCCCAAGGATCTCCACAGGGCATGTTCATGAGCAGCTCAAAGACGCTGCAATCCTCGTTGGGCACCTGAGCAAGAGTGTGGATGCTAGTGGGAAGAGCACTATTGTATTGAAAAAAGATATTTGGTCACCACCTCAACTCAAAACAGGGTACCTCTGGAAAGACAGGCGAAGCTTCCAGCAGTTCAGATCGTATTTCCAAGATCTTCCCAACGAACTTGGAAGGACATAGTCTTAGATGCAGCCAAAGCATGTTGAAAAAATGTTGGAAAACAGTTTGAAGAAACCAAAGCTTTCAGCAAACCACCTAAAATACCGAAATAGACATGTAAAGAATACAATGCAATCTAGAAACTGTGTGCCCTTGAGCGCTTTGCCCGTACCTTTGTACCTATCCTTTCCTGCTCTGTCCTTATACTTTTCCGCTGTCTTCACTAGTGACTTATGTACTCCCTTTTGGATAGGTCCAAGGTCCAGCTTCTGAATTTTGGGGGATGTGCTCCATATCAGTGTCCTCTTCAAGCACATGTGCCCCCAGTGCTTCATCCAGAACGCTTGTCTGTAGAGACCTGAGGCAGCAGAGCAGAACGGCAATGTCGAGCCAAGAGGACACCCGGTTCTTAGTGGGTTACTGCATCTTTCGTGGAATGGTTGGCATGATGATGGGTTAAGAGATGCCGCTCTCCCAAAAATACTTTATTTCAGCTAGGGATGGATGGATAAATCATTGGTTTTTGGCTTTCTCGAAGACTGACACCAAACAATTTGAACGACAATTAATAATTTAGCCAACAGGCTGATTCCACGAGCTTTGAGGAGGAAAACCAAATGGCGAAAACGCCCACATGCATTGATGAGCGTTGAAATTGGGTTTTCGAGAATTGGAACTCCCCCGCATGCCACAACCAGCAAAACGATGAGTACCGACCTCCAGGGTTTTTATAAACACCATGGTCAACGTTAACCACGAACAACTACAATATCGATCCAGATTTGATGGGATTTTCAAAACCTAGCCCTAGCCTGCAAAGACCTTTGTTGGCCCTGTAAACTGCCAGTCCAACAGGGCAGCCCTCCGGTAAAAACTCACTTCTGTGAGTGGAACCCCGGCTGATCGACACAAATGTTGAGCAGCAAATGCCCATCAACACCAGGAACTCTTGCCACCGACTTTGCAGCACCAAGATGCAGGCCAACCTGAAGCAGTCGAGGGATGGCAGAAGGAGACCCAACCAAACATGATTTGCAGTCCATTATTCACAAAGAAAGTCTTCCTGTTGCAGTTCACCAAAAATACCAACATGATCGTAATCTTTTTATCATACATGGTGCTTGTGAGGGTCAAGGAACGTAAAGCCACCTGACGTGTTCATGTCCATGGAATTGTTTTTAACTGTGTTGTCACCCTCAGGGTCATAGATCCGGTCCATGCTAGCCGTTGACAAACCTAGACCCTTTGCCAGCTTTACAAGACGCTGCTCACCGGCATACAACTCCACCACATGAAACGACTCCTTGTTGAGGTCAACCACGTCCATGAAACCGATCAGGAGAAGTGTGACCAAGAATACCTTAGGTCAGACAAACACAAGATAAGTTCCCGCATCATTCTAATGATGGATGACTCTAAAGATCTCTAAGGCCCTAAGGTGACTCACATGAACAATTTTCATAAATAGTCGTTCAGGTGCTTTGGGAGCCCCCAGGTGAATCATTCTACGAAGTATGTTTTCCATCTTCGGGTGCAAGGGAGGACAAGTATCATGGCCATGTTTTGCATCGCCCATTTCACCGGGTCTGTTTGGCTGACCCCACCGAGCACTGAAGCCTAAATGCTCCAAATTCAAGTTGAAGTCAAATTGAAGTTATGATGCAAAACCCTTCAAAAAATCCATCTTGAGATGCAAAGTTCATGTAGCATGTCAAGCTTTCAGACACGTTTAAAAGAATCAGCCCAAGCCCAAACTTGCCAGGTTCACTGGTCACCCGCTCTGTGTCAACGATTCCGGACCGCATGTACGGCCCCAAGTTGCGACACTTCGCTGGCCGATGTGCCGTCATGCGTGTACCTGGAACAGGGATAGGAGGAGATCCAACCAATAGAACCCAAAAAATGAGGAGTGGATCCTTTTTTTTTTCACCGCAATTCTTCCCAGCAGGGTTGGCGCTAGCTGCCAGGTTCTGACCCCGAATGTATCCAAATATGTAATTTGATTTGGCAATTGCAAACACATGGGCCCTTGGCCACTTGCAGGTTGAAGATTTGTCTAAAACATCCATGCATTGTTGAAATCAACTTTGAATGGGTTTGAGTTCAAAACACCTGCCGCGCTCCAAGTGGCCCTTGTATTAACTAGGCAACCGCTACCCACGAAGCTACCCCATCATGAAGGGAGCCGAAAACATCATTTCATACCTGAGCTGGTCAAACTCGGCCACTCGATGGTTCAACAAATTTGGGTTGGTATTAGTTGGTATGGGTTGGTTAGATTGAGAGTAGGGACACCATGGGACACCTAAAGTTTTTAAAGTATGGCGTAGTTTTAGAAAACCAAAAAGATAGGATTGGGTCCAGGTGCTTTTCTGGACCTTTTCCAACTCCAAGAACGACGGCACACAGCCTTCGAAGAAATACGCAAAGTTGGTCAAAGGCTTGTCAAAAGCCTTTTACTTTGCCACGCAATGGTTCCAGAATTCAACCTGGACAGGGAAAAGATTTGACAAACAAATTGTCCTGACTTGATTTGAGTTTCCTTCCGACCATGTACCAACCTTTAACAAGGAAGGATTGTCAACTGAAAAATGTATTTCAAGGTTTGATACCAGCCAGCCTCCATAGCAGAAGGATTGCCCACTCGCCCATCAAGGTGCCTCGTCCAAATGTCCTTGATCGCATCAAAGCGAGAAGCAGGTCCAGCTCTTGTAGGTCTGAATCGCCTGGCAAAGGTTTTCTTGCCACCGTTGCCACCATCATCTCCATCTCCATGGTTCGCCTCAATGCTGGCAGCCTCAACTGCTCCTGGAGCAGCCGCACCATGTTCAGCTGCAGTGGCATCAGCGTCGGGAGCTGGAAGACCCTCATCAATAGGTTCTTCATCTTCACCATCAGCAGCAGGGTTGGATCTCTTTTTGGCCTTTGACTTGGCCGCCTTGCTTGTCATGGCTGCCTTGGCTTCCTTGACTTCCTTGGTTTTCTTAACTTTCTCAGCCTTCTTGGCCTTTTTTTCAGCGGCCTTCACTTGCGCTTTTGCCTTCTTTTCCTCCTTCTTTCTCTTGTCTTTCTCCTTCTTTGCCAAAGCCTTTGCCTTGGCTTTGGCTTTCTTCTCAAGCGCTTTGGTCTTTTGCTTCTCTCGTGCCATTGCCGCCTTGGCTTTCTTCTCTGAAGGTTCACTGTCCTCTGGGTCTCGCTCTCCAGACTTCTTCCTCTTCTCAGCCTGCAGTTTGTCTCGCTCATCATACTGCTCACCACGGGTCACAATCTCCTCATGGTGGAAAAGGTTTTCTGCACCAGTCTCCTCATCCTTCTTCTCCGCAATGCTGGCATCCCCAGCCTTGTCTGTGTCCAGAACACCCCTGCCATTCTCCTGGGAATCAACACTGATAACCTCGTTCAGCTCTGGCTTTGCCTCCTTGGTCTCCAGCTCCTCCTCCTCCTCACTTACCCCGCCGGCGCGCTCCACAAGGTCAGGGTTCAGGGATGCTCCAGGTTGAGAGGAAGTCGAATCACCAAGGATCAGTGTCTCAGGGATTTTCCTGAACTTCTTGGCGAAAGGGACCGGTGGTTGTGAGTCAAATATGGGCTCAGCAGGTGGATCATCTCTCCATTGCTTGGCCACCGGTGACATCTCAAGCGGGATGGTGTCCTGAGCATCAACCCCCAAAGCTGATTGCAATGGCCGTGCACATTGCTGGACAGCCACCTTGTTCTGGAGTCTCTGCCTGGGATGAGGCACTCATTGTTGCAATGAGTTAGGCATCAGCTTAACTGACCTCTGGTGGTGGGGTTGGTTTAAAGCAAAAAAAATACTCTGAATTTGGCCTAAACTACTTGATCATTGCAATTTTTTTTGCAAAGTCTCCAGGTCTTAAGGTGTGTACTTGTCAGCATTGGGCATTGGGTCAGTGACTACAGTCTTCAAAGGGGGTGGACTCCCAGTCAAATCAACCACCTTCGGCTCCTGCGGCGTCACTTCAATCTCTGTGGCTGTAACTTCTGAGCCAGCTGGTGTCCCAGGCTCGACGAAAGTGTCTTGAAAAAGGTCAAGGTTTTCAGGGACCAGCTGAGAGCTGGGAATCTCCTCTGGCTCTGGCACTGCAGCACTGGCTTCAGGAGCAACGTCAAAGCCACCAAAGGTGTCAGGAGGGATCTGGGAATCACGCATAGGTTCGACAGCTGGACACTGGGCAATGGGCGACACTCCCAAGGCTTCTGCCAAACAAGACTCACCATAGTCATCATGAAGGCATGGAGGCTCTCCATTCTCCAAGTCCCCTACCTTCTCCAACTCTAGGCTAGAATTGCTGACAGTCTTGCCCTTCTTCTTCGGCTCCCAGAACTTGCCAATGAAGTCATAGATGGTTCGGATGACTGGGTCCTGACCAAATTCAAATTGACCGAGTAAAGGAATGACATTTCTTTTGAAATTTGACATCAAAAGCGCGCAGTTTTTCCACTATTTCCTACAAACCTCATCATGCTCCCAAAAAAAGGTAATACCCTCACTGCTATCAAAGTTCCCTGCGATTGGATCCATTGTGGCGTCGCACAATGTATGTGATGAAACCCTTGATGGAGGTTGCATCGCAGTTCATCTTGACTTGGTCATGTTGGAGATGAAGCAATTCACGGAATGCATCTACCTGGAAGCGGTGAGACATAGAACAACCCACCACTAAAGGACCACTAAAGGAGCCTTTTGGGACTGACTTACTTGAAACTTATAAAAACACTCATGATATATCTCATGGTGTATTTTAAAATTACAGTGTTGCCATCCCCTGTAAGAATCAAATACCAGTAACTACTTGGGCAAACATTTTCAAGAACCAGACCTCGGCTCGCAGTTGGTCGATGCAAACCGTTTTTGCAGAATCCACTTGAGGAGCCCACTTCTCCAAAAGGATCATCAAAACCCTAACATTGTACTTCATGGTATCAAAGGTAATCACACCCACCTGTTCCGAAGTAGGCCAGTAGAGCATAGACTTCGTTGCCAAAGCCCGGCCACGAATTGTTTCGTCATTCTCCCACATCTTGCCCAGTCCTTCCAATGATGTGCCTGGAACAACCTCATCGATGTCGTCACTTGGCTCATTGGCATCCACCGGAGGCATAGTGGACACAGGGTTCAACTATAACTTGGGTTGAATGATCCAGCCAAAACACCTTTAGTGAAGACATTTGTCATTCATGAGTGGTGTTGCTATGGTGCACAATTTGTTGATACCAGTGCCATCATGAAAGCACAACTTTCAAGGCAATATTACTTGATTTGGGTTTAGCTGGGACAACCCTGGCATGGGGCACTGGTCGACAGTCAAGGCCATCAGAAGTCACGCCATCGCCATGAATCACCTGTGTTGGGGAAATACCAGTTGGGCAAGTATCACGTTTGATTCCAACAAACCACAGGGTTGAAACCATCAAGATTCAAGATCTAGGAAAGCGCAGGGATTTTTATATCCCCCTGCAAAACCCCACTGTCAGTGATAGCCACGTTGTTGTTGGCTATTGTGTGAACCGAGGCCAATCAGTGATGCTGGGCGGCACCCGTATCAGCGACCTCAACTGATTGTTTGAGAAAACAAACTACCTAGGAGATCTAAAAGGCCTAGTTTATTCTTGCAGTATGCAATGCAACTTACTTCCAATTAAACACAACACTGAAGCACTGGAGTTATGATGGCAACATGATTCTGGTGATCAAGACACTGTATTTTTTCACCACCATTGCCAAGTAGAAAGAAGATCCACGCAGGTAATAGTTCTTCAAGATTGTATTGGCACGAGCATCGGTGATGATAACCTCAGCTCATTGTAAAAAAGAAATAAAAAGAACATGTGCCAGAGCATAAGTCGACCGCGTTTCAAATTTCACCCCACACAGCCAGCAATGCCTGGCAAAACACCTCGATGTCACTGAAAAGGATCTCCTGTGTCGAGTTCCACCAAGCCTGGGGCAGTCCAAGTAGGCCTGACAAAAGGCAAACCACCGGTGTTACAACATGAGGTTTTTGGTAACATGTTTGAAACGGCTTAGACATGATTATGAGTAGAGTTTACCCTCAAGATGCCTTCCATCTTCAAAGTATGCTTAGTGGATTCTTTCACCAAAGCGAACCGCGCATCCATTGCACAACGGTTGCAAGAGCTGGCTATCTGAGACTAGTTGTTTTGATCCACAAACTCCATAGAAATCGAGCGGGCTTCACAGCTAAGTCTGACCAGTTTGTGTTCATAAGTCCCAAATCACCAGGCACCACAGTAGGCACGGCAAGGGGTGGATGGCACCTCTGTGATTGAAGAGGCCAGTAAACTGCAAGAAGCCTCAAACCTAATTGAGCCTGTACAGCTACAATCCCCAAAATTGATAAAAATCATTGAAAATTGCAATTCTGCCCGAGGGCGTTTTTTTTTGCAGCAAAGCCTAGAAGGCTGATTTTCAGGAAAAGGCTGAAATTATGGCCTTTTAGATTTCCCAGGTATATGGAGGCCCATTCTGGGGCCAACATCTTCCCGACGCGGTTCCGACTCGGTTCCGACTCGGTTAATTCCGACGCGGTTCCGACTCGGTTCCGACGCGGTTTCGACGCGCTTCCGACGCGCTTCCGACACGCTTCCGACACGCTTCCGACGCGCTTCCGACGCGAGCAAACCGAAGTGTGGAACGACAAGACCGTCTATAGACCAAACTTGGGGTATCTTTCAGCAAACGGGGTCCTACAAATTGGGAAACAGAGGCCAATCCAGCCGCGAAAGAGCTGCAGGAAACGTGCCCACACATAAACAGTGAGCGTTTCACCTTAAAAAAAAAGCTTTTGGAAGAGCAACTTCGGCACCGCTTCCTCAACCACAAAAATTGAATCCAATGCTCGGCATGGACCTTAACTTCACTTCTTCGACTTCCAAGAAAACGAGACACCCGTTAGAGCACCGGGGTTAACACCACTTCCTTCAAGACGAAAAATCAACTTATTTTTGGGTTACTTACTGGACACCAGCCCTAGCACCACCTCTGTCCCCACCAAAAGTGCCTCCGGGGGTACCCGGCCCTAAAACCAAAGTTAAGCATTACAGGTTCCTATCAACTTATAAATGCCTTGTAAAGACAATCCCAAGGTGCGCTGACAGGTGGTAAGTGGTAGATTGGGCGGTTGTTTAGCAACAACTACTGTATGTGGTTTTCAAATATCACAGTACCCTTTGAAAATCAAGCATGGCAATGGACAACTATGTGGGATTTTCTGATAAACACCTCCATGTCGATTGGGGATGTCCCAGCCACTTATGTTTGATGACCGCAGGGTACATGTTGTTCCTATGCCACTGTGGGACCCTGGGTCTAAAACTACCAGCCACCGAATTAGGATCACGTTGGACATGGACCGATGGAATCACACAGATTCACCGGGCGAATTGGCCGAAAATGCCACTGAGGCGAGTTCGAATATTCCAATGATGGCTTTAGTCTTGCCAGTGCAGCTTGGTGGGATTTAGAGAAAACTGTGATTGTCACAGGCCTGGGAGATCATGAACAATTGACCAGGAAGATGTATCCTTGCTCTAGGGATCTCTAGGGTGATGAAGGAAGACTTCATTTTCACATCCCTGCTCATGCCTTCTCATGGCATCCTCATGGCATCCTCATGGTATTCAAACACTCTAGAGAAGCAACTTGGCCCAGTACTACACTTATGGGCATGTTGAAGCAACATAAAATCATGATAACAGTTCATTTGATACTAGCCGGCACTGCATGGGGATCGAATAACACTCATGGCATACAGAGCAAACAATGGTGGTGTCACACTGATACCAACGCTTAAACAACAAAGACCGATTCGGTAGATTCGGGAGGCTTGCTCTGTCAACGCAGATTCATTTAATTTAGGGACACCTTATTATAGATATATAGATCTATACATTTATACATATGTATTATTCATCTACATAACTATTATATATTCATCTAAAATGTCAATGCTAACCGGATACCATCAAATTTGATGGAAGTAAACAATTTCCTCGAAGGCCCAGATTTTCTTGGGCCCCCAGGTGATGATCGAAACCTTACTGGATGTGCCTTGGGAGGACTTGATGAGGCGTCACTCGATCGGTTGTTTCAGGCTGTGAACGTTTGATTCTTTTTTGGAAAGGAAGTCTTGAAGCGTTTCTACTGTCCTGTTGAAATATGTCGAAGCCAACACGGATTATGTTTCAGGGCTTTTCTGACTCACCGACCGGATGCTAGCCGATGTACATGCTGTTTTGGACATGATTCTTGGAAAAATTTTGGGCTGGTAGACTTGCTGTAGACCCACCATATTTACAATGCCTTGTTGGACAGCATCCCCTGCAGATATGAAGTGCTCTAGTGGATGGAAATCAAACAACATAGCCCGCCTGACAGTGACAAACACCGGTTTGGGCGATATTTCTCCACACTTAAAATGGCCAGCCAATTGTGTATTCCAGTCCTTCAACGTCTGGATCATATTCTCAAAGGCTTCCATGATAGAGTTGCTATAGTTCAGGTATATCAGTTTATCTATGTTATATCAAATAGTATATCAGTATATCTATATCCATCTATATCCACATTTGTGCCACTTTCTGTAGTCACTTTATATCTCAGATTAGGGTATCCTATAGAGCCATCACTTCACCAAGCTCTTCTCATTGGATAGGCGGATAGGTTTACGGGACATTTATACAAGAACGTCCCCATATTTCATGTGATATAGATATGGATGGATATAACATGTCATTTAAATCCATATATCTATATCCATATATTGGTCAAATAATCATCCCAACTGAGTAATAATTTTCCAGAGGGGTTGAAATCACCAACCAGTCATGGTTAAAACCCATGGTTTCCGGTGACCAATCCATGGATCTTCTCCTCAGAGACCGTCTCGGTCTCTCTGAGGCGAGCTGTTCCTTCCGCTGCGCATGTCCTCGGCCGGCTTCGGAGCGCCGCCAGAGATCTGGGGCACCAAAGGAGACGGCGAGGCCGTTGAGGTCATGGATCCCAGGAAACCAGGCGCAGCGCGGCGCGGCAATCGCAAGAAAAATGGCTATATGTGGTGGTCACTATATCTATCAATAGAAAATATAGAATGATATAGATATCATAGGCTATACCTACATTGTATAAGATGGTAAAAGATGAGCAGTTTATATGTTATCTACAAGAAGTAAATGTTTATGCCGCATGTGTAAACGTATCCCATTTGGATGGCCTGAAAAAAGGTACGGTACTAACCCCATTCCGGGTATGATTCATGGAGGTGAGCAACCAATGGGGGGCACACACGCACATTGTATTAAATATGTAATGTGTATTAACCAAAAGAAGCAACCCCTTCAAATTGTACAAAGAAATTTCAACTCGGATATTCTTGTGGAAATGCTCCATTGCCAACTGGTTGGCAAATTCAAACATCGTTTATTTTCACCATTTGTCACGCCTGCCTGACATAGTCACAGAGTGATCCCAACCCTCTGTGTTTCTTTTCCAAGGGTCCCACATAGAAGAACATGTCCTTGTTTCCATATGAGGTTTCAGCCCTGTTTGGGAAAAATCAATGGGAATATGCTGATCGCGGGGACTGAGCGGCCTCTGCAACAGGTGCTGACAATCCATGGGCAATAGCGGCGGCAGGAGGCGTGCACTGATCCTCGCCTCAACCAGATAGAAATGAAATGAATATATATGGATATATGCACAGATATACTTGTTTGACATTGTTTGACTTGATACAATCAGAGATAGATGAGAACGGCTCAGACTTTGTTTGGCCTAGTACCAGGGCCGGTCCCTCGAGCGGGTCACGATCCAGGACCAGTTTTTTTTATAGATTGAAGCTGCCAATGTTTGATTCTAGCTGTATAGCTTTATGTAGCATTTGACTCAAGTACCTTCGCAGTGGCTTGGCATTTTGATGGAATATGTTGGGGGTCCTGTGCCATATACACACCTAAGATTGTATGGGGTTTTCACCTCGTTACTGTTCTTTTCTCAACGGATGCGTTTAAGGGAACATGTTAACCTGAAACCATGGTTTTCAACATCATTAGCAGGGGAACCATGGTTTTTCTCATCAAAAACATACAGAATATATATATATATATATATTTATTTATTTATTTATTCATTCATTTATTTTTGTTGATTCATTTATTTTCTTGATTTATTTATTTATTTATGGAGGTGGAGGGTCCATCCATCAGGTTCCCTGGAGGATGCTGGTCGCTACATGGCCGTGCACCTCTCAGCCCAGAGGGCGGCAGTGCTGGGCTTGTCCCCTGAGAGCTGGCGCAGACTTCACCAAGTCCCCACCGTCGGCGTCCCCGGCAGCGCTGGATATGCCCAGGGATGGATCGTGCGGAGTGGAGCCGACGGTGGCGACAGCTACAGCCTGGAACATGATGGGAGCAACACCTGGAACTATATGAGAATGAATCTGGGGATGGGTTGGGTGTCAGTTTGCGGTGATGTGATTGTGATTTCTAATTCTCAACTTGTGCGCGCTGTGTAAGAACAATGTTCTTCCATGAGAACAGGTGGGCACAGGAGGTAGTAGGCCCATCAAAAATGAAACAAGCAGATGAACATGTCAAATGCATTGAAACTCATTTTCGTTCCAGCATGACCTTTTGCTTGTTTTTGTTGGTGCCAAAGGCACGTCCCTTGATCTATTCTTTTTGAACTGCCACAACGAAGAGTACTGAGGCTCCAATTTCGAGCATTTTGATTCATGTTTTGTATTTTTTGTTTGTTTCTGCATATTAATGTGTCTGCAGTTCTCACAAAAGGTAGCTCCAGTGGGGCAACCTTGAGTTTGCTTCAGAAGTAAAGGGGAGGCTTGCCAGCCCCGCTACCTGATTTTTCAGGAGGCTGCAGACCCAAAACACTGTAATTTACATGGTTTTTGTGAGCGTTGCATGGAAAAATCACTTCTTGCAACATGCCGAAAACTGCGTAAATACTAGAGTTTTTTCTAGGTTGTTTTTGCTAGCAAGGACAGAAAGCATCGTAAATACCGAGGTTTTTGGGCTTCCGAGGCGAAAAAAACAATGGCATTTACAGTGCTTTTTGCTCCGAGAGATTTAAAAAAACGTAACCAACAGCCTATTTGACTACTTTCGGCTACTACGCGACTGAGAAAAAAAACTGCAGGGGCAACAGCAGCAACAACAACAACAACAACATCGAAATTTATGGTGCTTTTTTACCACCTGCCAGATCAAATTGTTCCCCGCCGGACCTCAACCGCGAGCACCGGATCAGAGTTCTGCCCGCAGGACCTCAACCACAAAGAACCTCCAAAGATATCAGAAAACATGTCAAAAAAAGTATCATTTTACTTACACGTCACATGTCTCTTCAAGACCTGCCTCTTCAACTCACTGAACGAGGGCGCTGGGAGTTTAAAAAAACTAAAGAGAGCTAAAAAAAGCTAGACAACAGCACTCAAGCATGTTAAGGACAAGCTTTTGGAGGGAGTGCCCCTTTGGCGGCCCACAAGTTTTTTTTGCTTTTTTCAATTGTTTCTATTTTTTTCTTAGTTTTTTTCTAGCTTTCTTTAGTTTTTTTAGCTTTTGTGAATATTTTTCATCTTTTTGTATTTTTCTAGTTTCTTTCAGTTTTTGTGAATTTTCTTTGGTTTTCAAGTTTTTGTAGCTTTAACATTTCTCTGAATTCTAAATGTCCTTCGGCATTCCCTGTTTCTTCTGTAGAATTTGAATTGATTGTATCGAGTGCCAGTGGTAAGATCTCCAAAACGAATCAAATATCACGCAGAATAGGATTGATTTTTTCTAGCATGTTGTAGTTTTTGTTTGGATTCCTTCAGCTTCTTGTCGGGTTCCCCTGGGATTCCTTTAGCATTTTCCAGCTCCAAATTGAAGCGACACCTCTTGAAGAGGCATGCCATATGATCCTATGATATCACTTGTTGGGGATTACTCGAAGAAAGTAATTTGTCCGGAAGGCTTTTAAAATTGATTTAACAGCCAAAATGATGCCTTGCGGGGCCCTGCGCGCATCATCGCCATCATCAACAACGGTAGCGACGGCAAGCATTTGAGCTTGGATTATTTTTTTTCTGCGCTTTAGCTGTGGTGACGCGTTTTGCACCGATACTTTTTTTTACAAACAAACACTTTTACACAGAGTAGTTTTTATGCGCAGATACTCTTACACAGAGGTTTGTGCACAGAGAAACTTTTGCACACAGGCGCCTTTACACGCAGAGGTTTTTACATGTTTTTACACAAAGAACTTTTTACACACAGAACATTTTACACAAATGCTTTGCACAAAGATGTTTTTGTGCTGGGCATTTTTGCACACAGAACCTTTTCCACAGAGAAGCCTTTGCACAGAACAGTTTTTACACAAATAAGTTTTTACACAGAAAAACTTTGACACAGAGAAACTTGTACACACAGACTGCACCAAAAAAACACACCGGAATTTAGCCTTTACCCAAAGCAGTTTTTACACAGCAAAAAACATTTTTCCGCACAGAAACCTTTACGCATTTTTTTTAACGCACATCAGTTTTTACAGACAGACGATGTTTACACACAGAAACTTTTCCCCACAGAAGTCTTAGGCACAGAAGGTTTTACGCACAGCAATTTTCACACAGACGCTTTTACACACAGGCAGCTCTTACACAGAGAGGCTTTGCTTCCCCTTCTTGATCTCCTACCTTTCGTGTTCCCCCTCTCAAGTTTTCTATTGTTTGTATCGTTGTGATTTTTCTCATTTCCAATGTTTTCCAATTTTTTGTAATATTAAAACTTCCATGTGCCCAGTACTTCCTCTTTGGCTGGGAAAATATTTGCTATATCCAGCCATTGGCATTTGTTCCAAGGGAATTTTCGCTGCATGGGTGTCCCAGGAAACTCTTGCCGTCGCAGGGTCTGGCTGTGGTGGTGACGCTGAACACGGGCATCAGCGCGGCCCAAATAGCAGGCGAGCTGTCGGAGCAAGTGCTAGAGATGACCTTTGAAAGCGATGAGCCATGGGCCATGGATTATGACATCGAATTCACTGGTCATCATTAAGGGCTTGTAATGGTGTAGCTTTTTTGTCTGCGTTGTAGATATATGATATAGCTATATAACTTATAACCCTTTATATAACCAATAAAATGAAGAATTAAGTTGTGATCAAAAATGGTTTACAACATGTTACAACTAGGAATTAAACCTTGTGCTTGGCGGTATGGTCCGCAGTTAACTAGCTATGGTCCATCGAAGTAGCTGCCAGAGCTTTCTGACAACATGGAACTCTTGTGGAATTGTTGCGGGAACCCTTTTGCTGTGATAGGGAAAAACATGAAGAAATTGTTGTGTTCTTCATGTTTCCCTGAAACCATCCCTGGAAGCCTTCAAAGAAACACCATCCTCCTTGTCAAATCCATCCCGACCATTTTCCAAAAAACCGTGGTTTTTAGCGCTGGATTGGTTCATTTGGTGTTTCATTCTTCATCAGAAATATACGCGTGCAGATTCCCAAGTTGGAAAAAAATACAAGTTTCGTTGAGATTCCTTTTGTTTGGGTCCACATTTGGGGTTCCATGTGTGACATTTTGGGCGGCACTTTTGTACATATTGTTGACCTCGACCTGGGGGGCCAAAGTAGCCACAGAGAGGTACCATATGCAGGGCCGGGGCAATCTTTGAACTAGTGTGTTGCAACTGTGTCCCTTTGAGACACTGGGTTTACAGGTGTTCATCCTGCACATTGTTGGTGACCTCGTGACCTTACTTTGTCTGTGTATTTCTACTGTGTTCATATATAAATATATATGAATATATTTATTTATATATATATATACACTTATATATGTATATATATATATATGTGTGTGTATGTTTATATTTATATCTATCTATATATATTTATATTGGTAGAGTAGATACGCATATATCTTCCGGATCTTTGAATTTGTTGGCGTGGCTCAACCACAGACCGGTCTAAACCAGTTCAAAGCAGTCGTTGGATTGCGGTGTGACCGACAGGGCGCAGGAAAAGCGGCTGCCCGCTAAGGGTGGCGCCTAAATGTTGGGTTAAATTCAAGCGAGCTGTCGAAGCAAGTGTTGGAGATGACCTTTGAAAGCGATGGGCCATGGACCATGGATTATGAGATCGAATTCACTGGTGATCATTAAAGGCTTGTACTGTGTGTAGCATTTTTTGTTATGTTGCAGATATATGATGTAGCCAGCCGTATAGGTTATAATAATCATACGTGGCTCACAATATGTTACAACTAGGAATTAAACCTTGTGCTTGGCGGTATGGTCCGCAGTTAACTAGCTATGGTCCATCGAAGTAGCTGCTAGAGCTTTCTGACAACATGGAACTCTTGTGGAATTGTTGCGAGAACCCTTTTGCTGTGATAGGGAAAAACATGAAGAAATTGTTGTGTTCTTCATGTTTCCCTGAAACCATCCCTGGAAGCCTTCAAAGAAACCCCATCCTCCTTGTCAAATCCATCCTGACCATTTTCCCAAAACCGTGGTTTTTAGCGCTGGATTGGTTCATTTGGGGTCTTATTATTCATCAGAAATATATGCGTGCAGATTCCCAAGTTGGAAAGAAATACAAGTTTCGTTGAGATTCCTTTTGTTTGGGTCCACATTTGGGGTTCCATGTGTGACATTTTGGGCGGCACTTTTGTACATATTGTTGACCTCGACCTGGGGGCCAAAGTAGCCACAGAGAGGTACCATATGCAGGGCCGGGGCAATCTTTGAACTAGTGTGTTGCAACTGCGTCCCTTTGAGACACTGGGTTTACAGGTGTTCATCCTGCACATTGTTGCTGACCTGGTGACCTTACTTTGTCTGTGTATTTCTACTGTGTTCATAATATGTAAAAATAAATAATTCTAAATATAATATATAAATATATTTTTACACACATATATCCGATGTTTGGATATGTTGGCGTGGCTCAACCACAGACCGGTCTAAACCAGTTCAAAGCAGTCGTTGGATTGCGGTGGGACCGACAGGGCGCAGGAAAAGCGGCTGCCCGCTAAGGGTGGCGCCTAAATGTTGGGTTAAATTCAAGCGAGCTGTCGAAGCAAGTGTTGGAGATGACCTTTGAAAGCGATAGGCCATGGACCATGGATTATGAGATCGAATTCACTAGTGATCATTAAAGGCTTGTACTGTGTGTAGCAGCTTTTTCCTATGTTGTACAAAGATGATGTATCTAAGAAGGTTATAATCCATTAACATCCATTACCCCGGGAATGAAGAATTAAGTTATGGTCATAAGTGGCTTGCAACATGCTATAGCTAGGAAATAACCTTGTATTTGGCAGTATGATCCGCAGTTAACTAGCCATGGTCCATCGCTGCCAGAGCTAACAACATCGAACCGTTGTAGAATTTTTTCACGAACCCTTTTGCTGTGATAGAAAAACATGAAGAAACTTTGGTGTTCTTCATGTTTCTCTGAAACCATCCCTGGAAGCCTTCAAAGTAACCCTATCCTCCTTGTCAAATCCATCCCGACCATTTTCGAAAAACCGTGGTTTTTTAGCGCTGGATTGGTTCATTTGGTGTTTCATTCTTCATCAGAAATATACGCGTGCAGATTCCCAAGTTGGAAAAAAATACAAGTTTCGTTGAGATTCCTTTTGTTTGGGTCCACATTTGGGGTTCCATGTGTGACATTTTGGGCGGCACTTTTGTACATATTGTTGACCTCGACCTGGGGGCCAAAGTAGCCACAGAGAGGTACCATATGCAGGGCCGGGGCAATCTTTGAACTAGTGTGTTGCAACTGCGTCCCTTTGAGACACTGGGTTTACAGGTGTTCATCCTGCACATTGTTGCTGACCTGGTGACCTTACTTTGTCTGTGTATTTCTACTGTGTTCATAATATGTAAAAATAAATAATTCTAAATATAATATATAAATATATTTTTACACACATATATCCGATGTTTGGATATGTTGGCGTGGCTCAACCACAGACCGGTCTAAACCAGTTCAAAGCAGTCGTTGGATTGCGGTGTGACCGACAGGGCGCAGGAAAAGCGGCTGCCCGCTAAGGGTGGCGCCTAAATGTTGGGTTAAATTCAAGCGAGCTGTCGAAGCAAGTGTTGGAGATGACCTTTGAAAGCGATAGGCCATGGACCATGGATTATGAGATCGAATTCACTAGTGATCATTAAAGGCTTGTACTGTGTGTAGCAGATTTTTCCTATGTTGTACAAAGATGATGTATCTAAGAAGGTTATAATCCATTAACATCCATTACCCCAGGAATGAAGAATTAAGTTATGGTCATAAGTGGCTCACAACATGCTATAGCTAGGAAATAACCTTGTATTTGGCAGTATGATCCGCAGTTAACTAGCCATGGTCCATCGCTGCCAGAGCTAACAACATCGAACCGTTGTAGAATTTTTTCACGAACCCTTTTGCTGTGATAGAAAAACATGAAGAAACTTTGGTGTTCTTCATGTTTCCCTGAAACCATCCCTGGAAGCCTTCAAAGTAACCCCATCCTCCTTGTCAAATCCATCCCGACCATTTTCGAAAAACCGTGGTTTTTTAGTGCTGGATTGGTTCATTTGGTGGTTCATTCTTCATCAGAAATATACGCGTGCAGATTCCCAAGTTGGAAAAAAATACAAGTTTCGTTGAGATTCCTTTTGTTTGGGTCCACATTTGGGGTTCCATGTGTGACATTTTGGGCGGCACTTTTGTACATATTGTTGACCTCGACCTGGGGGCCAAAGTAGCCACAGAGAGGTACCATATGCAGGGCCGGGGCAATCTTTGAACTAGTGTGTTGCAACTGCGTCCCTTTGAGACACTGGGTTTACAGGTGTTCATCCTGCACATTGTTGCTGACCTGGTGACCTTACTGTGTCTGTGTATTGCTCAAATATATATATATATATAGTCAAATGTATAATTTATAAATACATATATATATATATATAATATAAAAAATATTTTTATATATATATTTTGATGTGTATATTTACATTTATGTGTATATATATTTATGTTTACATACGCATATATCCGATGTTTGGATATGTTGGTGTGGCTCAACCACAGACCGGTCTAAACCAGTTCAAAGCAGTCGTTGGGTTGCGGTGGGAGCGAAAGGGCGCAGGAAAAGCGGCTGCCTGCTATGGGTGGGCTACGCAGGGTATGGTCAAGACTAGGAACCCCACGGCAACTACTATAACTTATAAAGTCTTTCGCGAATTCCACGTGTTTTTTGCAGAACCTAACCATACCCCATTTTTGCTGCATTGTTGGTTTGCAAATCCAGTATTCAAGCATTGTTTTTATTTTGTATTGTTGATCGTAGACCTTGTTTCAACAATGTTTCTGCTCTGTCTCTTTCAAAGCTCTGGGTGGTGTATACAAGATCCGAGCCCAGCGTATCCTCTCAGTTGAAACCATCGAGGGGCCATTAGACTTTCTCATTTTACTTTGGCTTCTGAAACATCACTCTTTTGTTGATGAGAAAGTGTTTAGAGAACAGCTGCCTTCAATTTGTTTTACCTTTTCAGGCGAATGACATATCTACCAAAGATTCAAAAGATGAGTATAGAGAAACAAGATGAAATACACAATCCATACAAAATGTTTTAAATAAGATGAAACATGAGTATTGGATCGTAGTGCTGCTGCCGATTTCGGCCTGCAGTGCGCCAGCAGTTCGGTTCACTATCACCGAGGTCCACAGGAAATCTCAGACTGCCACGCATCTGACGGGCTCGTTGAACGTCGCGATGATCCCCCGTGCCCAAGGGAGCGAATGGGTCATCTTTCAAGACAATTTCTCGGACTTTCCACCAGAACCTCATAGATTCTCATGGTTATGTCAGTGAAGTAGCTGATTTTGTCATACTTGGGTTGTATGTGAATTGTTCCACTGCGCTTTACCAACCCTTATCTGGGCTGTATATGGCTATGATTGGCTATGGCTCTGTGGGAATAGTTCATGTTTTCAGCCCACCTGAACTGCTGAATCAGAACTTGGTTCATGGAAATGCCAATGTTTTTAACTCGGGATGTCAGGGTCTGGCTGCTGACATCCGATCGTT